TTTATTAATATTTATTATCATTTCTTTCGTCCTGTCAGCATTTCCTCCTGAAACATCATCGTGTTTTTTGTGGCACCTCGGGAGAGGAGGTAAGTTTTGACTAGATTAAATTCACTCCGCGACTTCGCAGATAAACTTAAATACATAACGGGTAACAAGTTATACGGCAAGAAGGATGGGGACACCCAGCAAGTCGTACAGTGATGGAACAAGTTCGATGATTGATAACATACCCGTTTTTGTGAGTGACTTTTCATTAAAAATAGTGAACACTTGAGAATAAACATCTTGCCCTGTTTAAAGAACAATCAGGTCTTATAATGGAAGTTATAGTCGTAGAATTCGAGTCCATGAAACTGTGCCATATTCTGAACTATATGCATTTCTACCTTCAAGGAAAACCGTTCTCTTTTTGCACTAGATTCGCTCTTTCTGAGACGCAGAGTACCAACATTGGAGAGTATGACATACTTGCGAAGACTCTGTGGTAAGTGAACACCCACACCATTAAATGGGAAGTCAGACATATGAGCAGTATAATAAAAATAGCACCAGTAGTCCAAAATTTAAGTAGCCTCACTTTACTGATTCCTAAGTGATTCAGTAACATTTTATCCTAAAGAAGATCCTTCACTTGTGACTACAAGCGAAATACAAAAAAAAATTGTCAAAATTTCTTGATGGAAGGCCAAACTGATTCGTTATATTATCAGAGTCGTAAATTTTCATCTCAAAGAGGAAAGTCGACTACATGGCAATGACAAATGTGAAAATTCATGAAACAGTATGAGTCGATGGAACAGTTTCCTAATTTCATTCTACGGATGAATTGATCTACGGATAAACTTTATAACTCTTACCTGCAAGCTGAACAGGAGAATTTTGTAATCTCAAAACCCATTCAAGTTGTGTTGGAATTGTTGGCAAACGAGGATCATGCGAAAAAGACGGTACTTCTTTAGTGACGAACAGCGACAGTTCATATTATGATCAAGCTAGACTTTTCTGACCCACACAGAGTAAATCGTAGAATAGAAGCTCCTTTTCAGTAAACAATCATCATATACTTTCAGCATTGCAGGCTAATCAATTTCAATAAATGAAACATGCTCAGTGTTTCACGGTGGAGACAGAAGACTCTTTCAGTTACCCGGGTCATATCAAACGTCTCGACTCCCAATTTCTGGCGCTTACTAGTCTGCTCGCCTTGTATTTAGACCAAGTAAGTAATCGTGGTTAAAAAGTCCACCTCGCTAGTACAGTTGGCAACAACTTTTGATACCTAGAGCTGTGAACTTTCGGTAAAGTTTTCACAATTCGGGGCATATGACATTACGGTCATATATAAGAGGGAATTGTGGCTCTTATATCATTACATCTAGCCGAAGAAACGTACATTTTGGTGAACAACAGCCCTCCTCGCATTGACTGAAAAGTCCAAGAAGTGGGTTTCGTGGGAGTGGGTGGGTTGTAAATTATCGGTCCGTCTCGAACATATGCTTGGACAATAAATAGGTTGCTTGTTTGTCAACTGATCCAATAGACGGGTCCAATAGCGCAACAGCAAAGCTCGTTGATCTCCACCTCAACATCGTATAGATTGCAGGTCCAATCTAGTTGAGGCAAGAGTATTGTCTTGATTGATTCTTCGTCGGGTTTGACTACGATGTAATGTATTCCCAAGATATGAAGATGAAAGAATATGGTAAGCACAATGTATACAATTATTGGTTGGCAAGGGTTTGCGCTAGCTCAGAATGCGCCTCGTTGATGGTGTGACACATGGTTAGACCGAATGGAATTATTGGTTCTGCGTTTTTGCAACAACTGGTTGCTGTGGATGAGGATGTCAACTAAAGCCTGGGAGTTGCGAACTCACGTCAATTCTATGTGCGGTTGGCTTCGTGAACATTTTTGTGGTTTCCAAACTCACCAACTGAAAGAGACTCAATAGCAATTTGTTGACGAACAATGGAGACAATCTAACTGATGATGGTATCCTAGACAAATAGAAAGAAGGCATTAAAGAAGAATTTAAAGACAGGAACAAATAGAAGGTTTATGAGCTGACGGGGCTTCACGAGGAAGTGAAGCGGTGGCATCAGCTTTCAAGTTACAAATGTCCATGTGACCCAAAGACTTGAGGCTAATATTAAATGACAGTGATGATTCGCTTGTGCCAAAATTGGATCAGAAGTGGTCTTTCCAAAGCATGATGCGGCCAAGTGTGACGCTTGCTAACTGTAGCCTCGATATTGCCACTTTTCTCACACACCGAGCCGAATCATCAATGGTATCCACGCTTGACATCTGTTGCTTGAAGTGATGTTCCAGCGAGAACCCTAAAAGGTGTCGAGTGGCTTCGCTTTCCAGAGTGCCAAATGTTGCTCCTCAGGTGCTACACCAAATGAATCATCCTGACTTGTTAACACATGACGTCACTGATCTTTTAAGTTGCAAGCCACAATTCAACTTTCTTGCGACATCTTCTGGTCGTGGTTGTCACTGAGTCTAGTCAGAAGGAGCGAGGAAGTTCGTGGTCTAATACTATCCATAAACCTTCTATTTTCATTCATGCAAAAACTTGTCGGAGTATACTAGTTTCCCACTCAATACGAGTCACATCCTCACCTCAAGATAATCATGAAGAACAACATACATGACTGCAGAACGGCAGTGCAATGATGACAAGAGCCATGCTCACGTCGCGATTTGATAATTTCACAACTCTGAATATCAACTTAAAAAGAAAGGAGCACTTTGCATATTGCTATGTGTTTCTAGATCAGATTCCATGTCTACATGAATGAAGCGATAATCTGGTGTATTGCCACAATTTCAATCTGGTGTATTGCCACAAGCATTTCCACAATAGATTGAGAAATTGATGTAGCCCAGGCCCGAGGCTGGCGTCATGTTGATCACCACCCGGGCCACCATTCCACACCTTCCAAGGCTGTAGGCAAAGAACACCAGGGCGTCCCAGTCCAAATCTTTCGGAAATGAAGCTGCCACTCGAGCTGCCATACATGCGTCATAGTACCATTACTACTTCATGCATCTTTTCAAAAGATGCATGAAGTATCGCAGATTCTTTTGTATTGTTTGTGAAAAAGAGTGCCCAGATGTACACCCACAAACTAAAAGTTTGTTTCTCGACCACTGATATGAAAAGTCGTCAATCCTAAATTCTGTAGATTCTTGAGTCTCTACCAAATACCATGTCTCGGAAATTCTAAATAGAAGTAGCGGGACTAGTATTTGTTTTGGGTCTTTTCAGAAGATGCCATGGGCTGGGTATGGGGGCGGCGATAGCTTATGGGCTGCAATGGGCTGCCATAATATTGCTAGGGAATAGTGTGGATTATCGTTGAAGTGGAGACTCGGAGCTGAGTACAGTTGCCGAACGAAGTAAGGAGTTCTGATGCACAGCTACTGCAGTTACCGTACATGTCTCGGTCGTGACTGAGTTAGCAGCAGCCAAGTCGCTCAAATCCAAAAGGCGCTCCACATTCGCACAACATCAGCCAAGTTGGCGGGCATTGAGCTCGACAGGGAGCAGCATATTCTATTACTCCGTCCTTTTAGTTCAGCTCGAATGGCGCTCCGCCAAATATGCCGCGGAGCAAAATTTGCAGCCCAGAAAGAAGGATTTCAAAGATGCTCCCTCCTGTTCCCGCTCGCCCACTCGTTCCTTCCCTCCCACAACCCTCCCGATCGACATCTCGAACCCGCGAAAGCAGCCCCGGAGTCTATATCTCCGGTCCCCCATAGGGAACTCCTCACATCATGCCGGGTCCAAATCGCTTTCTTACACCCAGCCTGAGTCCTGAGACCGACCGACGGTATACGAACAGGTGTACCCACTTTTATACATACTCCGTAAAATAGAAGTACGTGAACTCGAAGAATACACGCGCCACCCCTCGTCACTAAGGGCTCCTCAAAAAAGGGGGAACGCGAGCGCTGCCCGGGAGGGCTTTCTGCCCTCCCGGGCCCGCATCCCGACCCCCACCTCCCGCTTCGACCATGGAGGCCCTCCCGCTTTAGCTCGCCCCACTCCCGCTCGACCATCGGGCTCTTTCCCTCGCGGCCTCCCTTGTGCTCTTTCCCTCCGCAGGGAACTTGTAGTCTATATTTTTTTCCCCTCCCCTCGCAAAGGGGAGTAGAAATGGAGTAGCATATTTGGGGCTTCCACTCTTCTTCCCCCAAAATAAAGTAGGTACTTTAAAAACTAAGTAAATCTATTGTAAGTAAACTAAGTAAGTCATTTGTGACATTTTTGTTTAAAAAAAATTGATAGAGGGAGGAACAAATTCTATTTTTTACAAAAATTGTGATCATGAGATTTTTGTGAAGTAAAATTTATGATTTGAATTTTTTCATTGATTTTGTTATCACTTTGTAATTTGTGATTGTGTAATCTTTCATTACGAGTTCTCTTTTGATTCTACATCACGTTAATACATGAATAGATTTACTAACTTTTAAACTTACCTAGTTTTTTTTGGGGAAGAAGAGTGGAAGCCCCAAACATGCTACTCCATTTCTCCTCCCCTTTGCGAGGGGAGGGGAAAAAAATACGGAGTACAAGTTCCCTACGGAGGGAAAGAGCACAAGGAGGGAAAGAGCCCGATGGTCGAGCGGGAGTGGGGCAAGCTAAAGCGGGAGGCCTCCATGGTCGAAGCGGGAGGTGGGGCTGCGGGGGGAGGGGGTCGGGATGCGGGACCGGGCGGGCAGAAAGCCCTCCCGGGCAGCGCTCGCGTTCCCCTTTTTTGATGAGCCCTTAGTGACGAGGCGCGCCACCTCTCATCGCTCCCTGAGGCTCATGAGTCATGAGGCCAAGCCCCGTCCCTTGCTAAGGACGGGGTTTCGAAGTGGGAACTAGGAAGGAAGAAAAGCGTGGCGAGAAGTCACCGCCAGTGGGTGGCCGGGGCCGGGGAGTGCCGAAGTGGTACAGTCAACGAGGTAGGGCCACCCGAGAGGGACAGGAGCAGTGCGGGCAATAGTGGTGGCGGGGCTTGCAGCTTCGGTCCCCCATCGTCCTTTCTTGCAGCACCTTGGAACGGTAGCAGAGGAAGGGCCGTGCTTGTGAGGGAAGGGAGGGGAGCAGTGCGTGTGCCTTTGTTGGACGCAGAGAGCCGAGGTGCTGAAGGGAGATAGAGAAAGAGAGTAGTATGCATACATTCAGATCGGGAGTGGGGCATCTCAGCATCAGTTCAGTGCTGCGCTGTTTGTGCAATTCTACATGTATCGAACTTGATTCTGGACAGAAGAATATTTTTTTTTCTTTATTTTTGGGAGTTCCGTCGTGGTCGATCATCCCGCGTGTGAGTTTGACTTCTTCAATCCGAAATCATGCCATTCGGTCTTGTAATCTAGCGTTTGGACGTCTTAGGCAGGGTCCGGTGACACCGGAGCTTTGGCGTGATCATGTACAGTATGAACTCGAGTTGAGATAGAGGCGGAGAGTGTGGTGAGGCGAGAGCAGGTCGGGACTGGAAGTGTAGAGTTGTCGGGAGGTTGGGGGAGTGTCGAAGTTGTGCGGGGAGAGAATAGAGCCAAGGGAGGAGCAAGTGCTCGTGTTTTTCTTCTTCGGAGGTGGAGATCAGTGCATGAAATTGAGTCGATTTGGCGCAGGGATCAGAGGCTATGATTGCGGGCTTTCAGTGGTAAAGCACCAGGGCCGGGAAAGTTGGAGTCTTACGGAGAACCATCAATTTGGTAGTGGTGTAGGGGAGCGAGAAAGTGGAACAATCCTCTCTCGCCGATTCGTCAGATTCTCGGCTACTTACATGAGAGTGATGTACTCTCTGCTATCAGTCATTGCTCCCTCCTGAGTCGGAAGATCTATTTCGTACGCGTAGGAAGGCAGGAGAATTGGCTTATAAAGTTCCCAGACGCGGACAGTCGGAACATATGTGGAGCTTGCGTCACTTGGGAAAGAAGTAGAATCGCAGATTTTCCCCACGCACTGTACATTGAGATAGGCTCATAGGCTGTCTTGATAAAGTGCTCTGTAATGGTTGCTCTTCTTCCCTGGAGTGCACTCTCCGCTTAGGCTACCAGGGCATAGTTTGATGAACGTAGGTGAAGCGGCCGAAAGCGTGGATGTAGCTGGAAAACAGGTTGACTGCTGGTTCTATCTGATGTGTTCACACATATGTGCTGTACTTCATAGTCGAAGGCTGTAATAAATTTGGGGAATTGGGAGCTCATCCTTAATTTATACTCTTCTTCAAAGCAAGGGATTGGCAGGAAGGAGACAAGGTTTGTGATCTGTTGGATCTTCGTTCGGACGATGAAAACACTTCGTGACTCGAAGACTCAGACTTATTGATTACAAACTTTGTCGCACTGAATTCTGCCGGGAGATCGAAAGGAAGTTATAATGCGGAGAATATTTCCACTCAAGTCCACCAGTAACCATGGTCATTCTGGAGGAGATTTCTCCGGGAAGGAAAGCCCCAGGCTGAAATCACGAGACCCGCCTGAAGTTATAAAGAGAACGGCGATCAAAAGCAAGAAAAATGATCCATCTACTTCAGAGGACACGAACTCGGCGGCATTACGAAATAAGCGAGAGCATTGGTGCCCCTCCTGTCCAGCAGCCGAGAATGGAGTGAGGTGCGAGACTCCACCTAGCGGAGATGAAAACATCGTGGCGAAGGAGGAGGAGAAGGGCGTGATCAGTCCCATGCGGGAGCACCTGCGGCAGTCGCATCGAACGGCTTACGTGAGCGATACGAGAGAGAGGGAAGCAGATTTGGATCTCGACGAGGCTTTGAAAAGTGTCGTTGCTGGTGCCATGAGGAGTGCAGATTGTCGCGTGGTTTCTGTCGACAAGTACACAAGCCGGAGAAGGTAATCATTGGATCTTTTCTTGTGGACGTTCCAATTCGTGCAAAATTTGAACCATTCGAAAGCCCCGCCCCCTTCTCATTCACTGGTCGTTGTCAGCTTTCTCCACACTAAAACCTGTGTCCTTGCGCCTTCGCAAGAACGCATATCCCGTCTTTGATACCAAATCGACATTGTCATGTCGGCGAACGTATGTCTGACATCTGTCTCGCGTCATTCCTTCGTTTTGGCAGTGGGCTCGGAGCTGTGGACAACGTGGTTCACGACAGGCTTAACAAGCCTAAGGTCAAGAGTAAGATTGCCCCGGGGCCCGTTAGGGCCAATAGCGCCCCTAAAGTTCGACCACAAGCTCCAGGTACTGCACCAGAGGTTCCCCGCCTTCATTCTATGAGGATTTTGAAGGTTCCTGACAGAGTATTCGATGCGCAATCACCGAGGCTCTCATATTCACCGAGGCTCTCACCGAGGCTTTCCGAGGGGAGCTCGAGTAACGATAGCGTCACACCTCGTTCGAGGCTTTCCTACGACAGAAGGTCTAGTTTGAATGGCCTCACTCCCAGATCTTCTCATTCTCGATCGTACGCGCTCGCGGAGGCACAACCTAAATCGGGATCAGACAAGCAGCCGGTCACACCCTCCCTTAACACGAGAAAGTCTTTTGACTCTCCGCGACCCCTACGGAAGGAATCAGGCCCACTCCCCCCCGTGGAGGTCTCTGAGAAGGTCACAAAGTATTCTGGTGCTCGGATAGTTGCCGAGCGACTCGCCAAAGCCTTCAGGGGCACGAGTAAGGCTTCCATCAAGGAGGGCAAGACTTTGATGGATGCCGATCGCGCAGGGGGTAGCAAATCTTCTCTTGGTCATCCCAGGAGGATGTTTGTGGAGCACTCGGACGCGAGCTACGATGGTAGTTGCAGTGATAACTCCACGCAAGCTGAGGAGAATGTGTCGCTGTTGAATTTGCTGCCTCACGTAAGGGCAGGGGAACTTCAGCCTGTGAACATTCGCAAGGAAGGGAGCGTCCTCTCTTGGCAAGAGTTCGTCACAGAGGGCAAATCCCTGCAGTCACGTTCCAGCGATGGCAATGGTAACCCAGTGCCAGAGAGAACTTTGGAGACCCATGGGTCCACTAGCGCCGAGGCAGGGACGCCCACTTCCGGAGGCAGGCGCATGCCTTCACCCGCTGATAGGCAATCAAGGACTCATGGTGCATCATCAACGCACCAAGAGGATAGGGAGAAGGAAATTTTGAAGACCTGGTTGGAAGGGCTCAAGCGCCAAAGCGAAGGTCTGAACGATGATTTGGAAGTGAAGGCGCGGCAAGCAGAGGAGCGCGTCTCGAAGCTCAGCGGTGAGCAGTCCCTCTTGGACGACCAGCGGGATTTCCTGCATGAGCTTCAAGGCAAGGACGACACCGGTCGCAGCAGTATGGCCACTGGTATTAGCCTGATGCAACAGAGAATCAGGAAAATGCACGACGACAAGAAGCGTTTAGCTCTTGAAGTTGCCGCTGAGGTGAAGAGAAGAATAACGGAACGCGCCGCAGCGAAGGAGGTCCTGGTTATGATGAAGCGAGAAATGGAGGCCTGTGTGAGAGTTATGGAGAAGGAGAAATTGGACCTTCAAGATGGTTTTGATCGTGAGTTGGAAAGGAGGGAAAATGATTGGTATGCCAAATTCGAGAAAAGCCGGTCTGAGGAGAAGTGGTTGCGGGAAAGAGTGCGTAGGCTTGAAGAGGAGAAGGTTGGTCTGCAGAGCGAGCTAGCAGGAGTAGCGTCCAAGGAGAGCGGCCTGCGAGAGAAGGTTAGGGATTTCGAGCTGCAAATGGATGGACACCGGAAAAGAGTGGAAGGGGCAGAGAAGACCATTCTGGATTTGAGGCATTCGTTAGCGAATAGCATTCAACAGGCTAGGCAGGCAGAGAATGAAGTAGAGATGGTGAAGAAGGCTTATCTGGAGACAGAGAGGGAGAGCCAAAAGCTCAGCGAGCAAGTCGAGAGACTACAAAAGCTTTGTAAAGATCACGAAAGCAGCATTCAGGGACTCCAGTTAGGCCTAAAAAACGGCTACCGAAACGGCTCCGAACAGAAAGACGGGACCTTAATGGTCGTGAGGAAGGAGTTAGTACGGTTGAGCGAAATCGAGAAGTCATTACGCTCGGAGTTGGAGTCTTTGAGAGTTGAGGCTATCAACTTGAGAACCGACAACAGAGCGCTGACAATGCAGCTGGGAAGCCTAGAAGATCAAAGAACAACCGGAAGTACTTATCAGGATCTGAAAGCTGAGGTTGCAAGCCTCCAACTGAGAACTACGGAACTACAAGACGAGAATAATTCCCTGTCATTCAATTTAAAACAAACCCTCATTGAAAGGGACGGCGCGAAGGAAGCTCTGAATACACTGGAACTGAGTCTGTCCGGCATCGAGAAGGAGAATATAACCCTCCAGGAGGAGATCTCACGGGAGAAAAACAAGATTCAGGAGAGGGAGAGGGAGATTCAACGACTTGAGAGGAGAGTGGACGGTTTGCTGAAAAACAACCAAATGCTTCAAAATATTCTAGCAATGAGAGAAAAGGCTGCCCAGGTGTGTGATGAAGAGGCCAAGGAGAAGGAGAAGGTTGTGAAAGAGGCCCAACAGATGGAGTTGGAGATGCGCGAGAGCTTGCAGGTACATTGCTTTGTGAATTTCTCTTCTGACGATAGTATGCCGTCCTGCCTCACTGACTCTATTTTAACTTTGTTTGCAAGCAGCTGTTGAAAGATACAGAGTTTAATGTTTAAACAAAAAACATTAAACCTTAAATTGTTTCTAGGTTCATTGTAATGAATTGTGCATCTCCCTTTGTTCATTGTATGATGACATTGTATGATGACATAGTTCCCTTAGTTGTCATAGCGATTCTCTCTCGATGGCTATGAAAGAAGTTATGTCGGCTGTTTCATGACAGGTCTCTGCGAGGCAGTTGTGTTACATGAATGAAAGAGCGGAGCTCATGAACGACAAGCTGCAGGAGAAGGATACACAGTTGTCCTCACTGAAAAGTGAATGCGCCAAGAAGGATGAGGTTGTTCGTGGTCTCGAGCAGAGTCTTGGAGATTTGGCCAAGAGTCTGGATGCACAAAATAGGCGCATCATGCAGCTTACGAGTAGAAACGAGGAGCTTTTTAGACTGTATCACGCCAAAAGCAAGGAAGTTGAAGACTTGCACTCCAAGATGATCGAAGATACTGACAGCAAACGACTCAGTTGCCAGGAAATCGATCAGGTACAAGCTATTCTTTATTATGTTAATAGCACACCAGCACATTACATGCCAACTTTGTATTCAAAAGAATCATATTGCGGCACTGCCCATGACGGGATGAAATTACACAGGTCACTAACTCCGGCTTCCAGGCGTGGTGAGTTCTGCTTTCTGTCTCAGTAAGTAACCTGTGGAAACTTGAAGTACCTGCCACTAACTTCTCGTTTACCTGGTAACAGATGGCAGGACGGGCCAAAGACGTCAAGCAAGAGCTTGAAGCGCAGAATATGCTTTGTAAACTCCTAAAAGAAAAGCTTGTTCAAAGGGAGGATGATTTGAAGAATCAGAGCGAAGAAGTGGCATCTCTTGTACAAAGTCGTGATTGGTTGCAGATAGAATTGAGCAGAGTACAAAGTGCACTTGCAGACGCTTCTCACCGGCTTGCTGGCTTAGAAAGATCTGTAAGCAGCGATTTTTGCTGACTTGTTTAGCGGCCGAGGCTTTTTATCGAGTGTTTCTCTGTGAATAGATATAATTTTTGTAAGCCTCTGGTGTGGGATGCTGCCTAGACCTGCGATCTTGCCATCGATTTTTTTTCCCATTTGGCATTGTTGTGCTACTACTGAAAGCAGAGGATCGCGTGTTTTTGCAGCTTGCACAAAAGGAGGATCTCTTGTCTTCTTTGCAGTGTGAGAAGAAGGATCACTTGAAAGAGCTTGCGAAATTAAGGCAAGAACTGCCTCGCGCAGAACGTGATAGAGACCAGATTCAAGAAGAGGCCGAGGAGATCGGGCGAGAGGCCTTGCGTTTAAGTGCTGAAGTGGAAGTTTTGAGAAGAAAAGTAGCTCAACTAGAAGAGGATGTGATGGTCAAAGAAGGCCAAATATCTATTCTTCGAGGGAGCTTCGGCCAAAGCGAATGATATGAAAATCTGCTGTCTTGGACAAGCCTTGTGCACCTGTATCATATTACCTGCTAGTAGCTTCTCTACACGTGAGAGAAGTTGTAAGCTTGAGGACCCTTGTGAGTCTGCACTTGGTATTGTCCGAAGACTATCTCAGCACCACATCGGCGCTCTTTCAAAGTTGAGAACACTTCAGGTAGGCTTTTACGACCCAAGGAAGGATGGCAACTGATCTTCCTTTGACTTGGCATTTCACTTCATCTGACGTTGGTCTTGGAATGTGCTACATCTTGGGTTGCGTACAGGTGGTGTTTTCTGCTTGCGAAATTTCTTCTGATGAGAAGCCTGTGTGTCGCCTGTTGGCAGGTTACTTCTCCAAATCCTCATTGTTCCTGGATTACAGACGTTGCTGAGACCCACAGATTTAGGTAGGGATTAGCTGTGATATCAGCGAATGGCTGTCTTCCCAGAAAAGATCTCAGTACATTTAATTCCCACATTCGAATAACAACACTGATTAGAGGTGTTTTGTAGCGACCCTTTGTATTGGGATTGTACAGCACACATATACCTGTACTCTTTTACTCGTTTTGAGTCCATTTATCCCGGTAGCTTGCAGAGACCAAGTAGCAGAGATGAACTAGTGGAGACCTTCTAAGTTTTGAAACTTTAGATGAGCGTCAAAAGTCTGCCCTTCTCCAGTCGAGCTGCTAAGTTTTTGATCCAACAGAAGGTGTTCTTATCCTCAACGCATATCAAACAACGCCCTCTCTCAAGTGTACTACATTGGAGCGTATGGGCGTTTACGACCTATTGAGCTCTCTCACTCCTCCGGGCACTACCGATTGTGAATAAATATTTTTGATCATTCTCTTTCTGTTGCTCGTGAGGATACCAGTTTGGTATGAATCTTCAGGATTGTCCGTTCTTGAGTTCTCTTTGAATCTGCTTTTCGCCTAAACTTGTCTTCGGTGGAATAGTGTCGTACTATCTGGGTCTCATCAATTGTGCAGCCTGATGGACCCTCACCGCTGAGTTTTGTCTTGAAATATATCTCCTAGCATATTGTTCCATTCTGCACTTGCTCCAAATGTTTGGAAAACTGATTGTTCAAGTGAAGGTAAGTTCGCTTCTTATCAATGCGGCAGGAGTTACATCTGATTCTGCGCAGACTACAGATGTTTTCCCAACATACTGAACTAAGTGTGCTGGACGATCAACTTTCAAGTGGCATCTCATATCTCTAACAAGGTGACTCGCCGCTGATCGATGATCAAGGTAGGAATCGAAACGACACGGAGACTGATCAGTTCAGTACCCTAGATGTATTGTTCAAGTCTGCCCTTGCTCAAATGGTTCAGTACCCTAGATGCGGCCGAGAATAAAAGAAACGCAGTAGGGTCTGGCGAGAACCTGATTGAGAGGAATTATTTCGGAATTGGCGGAATTAATGTGGTGTTGGACAGGCGTCTTAGGGTAGGGGCTTCAATTGTGCTCATGGGATTATGCTCATGCTCTGTTTTGTTACCGAATCGAGACTATGGACCTGCTTTATGCTTCGATGCCCTTTGCGTCGTCCACGACGTCCTCGTCCTTTTTCAGCCGCTACTCGGCGCTTGTTAGTGAATTGGAGACCGCCGAAGGAGAGCGAGCTTTTGTTTTGTATCAGGAATTGATCCCCTTGTGTGCAGCGTGGCAAGAAGCCTTGTCCAGAGATATTGACCGACAAGATGAGGAATCGGCCGCGTTTCTTGAGAACATCAGCTTTGATGATTGTGAAGCATCGTCGGTGTTCGTGGAAAGGTACAGGGAGACGGTAGAGAGGCTGAGAAGTTCAGTAGAAAGATTGAAAGCTGCCATCGTCAGCACCTCGGAAATGGCCGTTGCAGCTCAACGGGAAATACTGTCCGGAATGCGGGCAGGGGCGCCAGCAGCATGATGCGAAGCTGTAAACAAGACCAATTAACATCCAATCGGGAAGATTTGAGGAAATTTCTCGCCTTCGTGTTCAGATATGGGAAGATAATGTTTTGAAGCATTGTTGACGATATCCACTCCTTCGTGTATGCGACACAAATGAGGTAAGTGGAAAGACGCGACTCTAGATTGAGCTTGGACTCTAATTATATCTATATCCAATTTCATGGTCTTCATTGTTTTCACTTGAGGCAAAATTTGTCTCTAGTTTTCGCGGTGCGCAAGCCTGTGGAAGCCTATGAACAATGAATGCTTTGTGCTGTTTTTCTGGAGTATCCATTTCTCCAACTCTAGACGGTCTATATCCAGGCATTCAGGCGGAGCGAGAAAGGAGGTGAATAAGTAGTGCACTGGACCGGTGAATCTTACAGATCTTTTACAGGGTGACTCGCCGCCGATCTATTTTCAAGGTTGGATTAGATACGGCACGGCGACTGATCATTTCAGCACCCTAGATGTATACTTCCAGTTTGCACTTGCTCCAAATGGTTCGAAAATTGATTGGGGCAAGTGAAGGTAAGTCTCGCTTCTTATGAGTTCGGAAGATTTGCATCTCGTTTTGCGCAGATGATAGATGGCTATTTCCGACGTTTCAAACTAACTGCGGTGGATGATCTGCTTTCAAGTTGCGGTTGGGTGTACGCCGACGGGGTGATTGCAGGGCTAGACTCAACATTGTTGGAATCTTTGCAAAGAGTAGTTCGTGTCAAACATTGATTCAGAACTTGGATGGTCGTTCTCAATAGTTCGGTTGCCATACGACAGCAAATAAATCAAGCCAAAATTCGAGGTGACGCTGAGTGGTGAGTTGCGTAGTGTACTGCAGGAAGTAGCGGTCTTGTGCTGAAGGAAACGTGCAATCGCAAAAAATAAGTAGACAAGTGGGTTATTTCATTTCGATGGAACGCCGTGCCTCGTCTTTGGTCTAGAAGCTTAACAAGCAAGATCATTTCGCTATCTTTGTTGTGTAGGATGATTACTTCCCGTATCCTAAGACAAGTAATCAAAACATTAGACCTCTGTGATATTTCGCATAAATTGAATGCGAAGTACACGCTTTGAAGATTGCTTTGCTTGCATGTCCTGTATGCTGAAACATAGCGAAGATCGCTTTGAGAACCTTGGGTTCAGGTACATGGAATTGTTCGGTGTGCAGTCTTGATCAGTCGAATGTACTGTCCAAGATCTTCCAATGTTTAAACTAGGCGTGACGCAAACGTAGATGACGTTGCTCAACGTCCACGTGAGGATCTGATTTCTCGTGCTATTCAGATGGCAGTTACCTGTTTCCTGGAGGACCGGGGTTCATGTTCTTCTCTGATTGTCCAGCTCGTACTAATTCAGAATATGCTCGCGAGCTAAATCATGTCACCTCTATATTTCTCATAAAGATTTTCACCACATTGACCGGTCTGCTGACAAGACGAAGACTAACACTTAGGACGTTCCTTAGGTACTGGGCATTCCTCCCTTTTCTGAGGAAGGGAGTACGCGATGGACGTCCAACAATAGGCCGGGGGTGATCCGCCACGTGGCATTTGCGACCTTTTCCTTGTGGACATCATTCTGTACAGATGTATACATTCGTTCACGGACGTATGTACTTACACACGTCTCGAACTGCGAGAACGCTTACCATCCACCAGATTGAAGACGGCGTCGGATGTTTGAATAATTGTGATTTTGGATATTTTCCGTGCGCGGGAAGTCCGCGAGATGGGTCCCCCTGTTTCCTGCTGTCGTACCGTCGCCGATAAGCGGCGTGCAATCGCCTGGTAGGCAAGATTTGAAAACAGGTAGTGAACTTCGAAACTACCGCCGGCGCCTATTTTTCTCTACTTTCTCTCCATCCTCTACCTAAATATCCAGCGCGCGGCCGAATTTTGCCTTCTTTGGTGGCGAAAGTGCACAAACCCCTTCGCAAGGCCCTGTGGTTGAATACTGTACAAGGTCTTTCTTTTGGAACGGCTATGAGTTCAAATTTTGAATAGCTCGAGGGCGGAGCCCGGGTTTGATCTTGATGTTCCTTCAAACGACTTTTGCGCCATCGCCTTGACTGGGCAGCCCAACCGACATATGAACGTTTTCCTGTCCACAGACACAGCTGAATTCCGACGCTCACGACTGGTCAAACACCCGACCGTCCTTCCTATGGCTGTTTTACAGTACCGGTTTTAGTAGCTGCACTGTAGCTCTGGGTTCTAATCCACCGTCTGTTTAGCAAACACGCACGGCCTACCTAGCCTACCTAGTTGGCTGATTTGATGGTTGTACTCGATTCGGGTAGTTCCGAATCATTCACTGCCGCCCAGAATATTACCGGTAGTTCTCATCACAGTTATGACGTTCACATCCTTACGATGTATGGTGGGATGTAGCTGGAGTGTTTTAGGCCCCCCTAAAGCTACATATAAGCCGCTGACAAGCACTGACACGGTAGACTACTGTAACTCTCGTTTGCAGTGGATGCGAGAAAGTGCCCGTAGGTGATTTTCTTGTCCTTCTCCTGCTTTCCAGGGTCATATTCTTCGACCTGGTCGAAAGCTGAGGCCTGTGAGTACGCCCAAATTGCGTTTGCTTTGCCAAAAGAGCCGTACTGCAGCATCCCGTTTGTTTTGCGTGCGCGAGGACTTGACTGCCGTTGCTGGATGTTTCCGATGCAGAGCGTACTCGTACTGTTCAAGGCTTCTCCTTCGCCTAAGTTGTGATAGATGAGGGATCGTGGCAGATGAGCTCAGAGTTGGTGAAATTCTATTGTTGTTTGAAGTGGGCGATTATTTTGTTTGACCGCTAATCAGAGTCGAATCAGAGTTGGTTTTACTCGTTTACGCTTTCATCCTAGTTCTGTATGAGTACGATTACTGTTTGTTAGGGGTCAAGGAATCTGGGAATGTACTAATTCAAAAGCTTCAATTGAGATGCAATTGGGGCTTAAACCCATCTTACCCCCTTTGCTTTCATCCTTGTGACTTGATAGGGTCTTCCCGTCCTTTCTGCTATGTTCGTCGCTCTTTGCTTTTGTCTTCATTCCATCGATGGAGACATACGTCTTCATCGATAACTTTAGTTATTTCAGGGTCGATTTTTCAGGACAGTTACAACTGTTAAACTTCTTGTCTGAAGACTCTACGTACATAGTTCTATATTAACAATGCAAGATTAGTTTATGTCTGGATGGCAGAGTGATGATTGTCTCATGGCGATCCAAACGAATAGTTCTCGTAATATCGAGTCTAACTGACCCTTTGATTTACGAACGCTGACCACCATTCCAGCTCTTTGAACTACTGGCTTTCCCCACTAAAGCAACGGAGAAAAACATATAATTGACAATCAAGTCTTTTTCAAACATTTGCACGTCGAAGAATTTTTTTCTGAGCCTGCCCTGCTTGTAGTGGAAATGGAGAACACATGGAAGTTCCTACACGAGAATGGAATTGTGTCGGTATACCGACAAAGTTACAACTACAAGAAGCAAGTTGGACCGACAGCTCCGAATGACAGTGGTGTACATGGTGGTCTCAAAGTGCACTTTTTCTTCTCATGTCCAGAATTCGTCAGTCCTTACTAGCAAGTGACTCTTTTTGTCGATAAGGGAAGTCAGGTAAAGTCTTGGTTTTTTCTGTAAAGATTCGATTTCCGAGGTTGTCAGACGCCCTTTATTTACCAAAAAGGTCAGCTACAACAGCAACCTGTAGTTCCCTGTAGATTCGACCTGTTTCTGTCCTTCAGATAAAATGCAGTCGAGGGGAGACTATCACCTCGCAATTTCTTTCTGGAAATTTCCCTTCAACAGATTCTGTCACGTTTGATGATTTTTGAAATGTCACTGACTTGCAAGTCAGAATAGACATGAACGCTGGGAACTCAAACTCGCTTTATGGCACGTTTGATGATTTTTGAAATCTGACTGACTTGCAAGTCAAAATAGACATTAACGCTGGGAACTCAAACTCGCTTTAGGGCATGCATCTATGTAGTAATATGGACAAACTGTGAAGCAATCTTGGATTAAAAAACACCAACCCCACCAACCCCATCTCTACATTAGCCAAAGCCCAGTTTCTATCATGCACTAAAGAAATTTTAGCTGAACTCCTTTGGACCTCGAGAGGGAGAACCTCGTGCCACATATAGTAACTAGTTTGGTGAAATCGTTCGCGTTTCTGTTTTATGCATCGTAAGTACTATTGCCCCAATAAGTGCTACTAATAAAATTAGAGTAGAAACCAAAAACAAGAAAAATAAGAAGAACTTGTAAGGTTTTATGGTGTCGCTCGTTTATGCGAGGAACTTGGTCAACGATTTCCTTGTCTGGTTTTGACAAATTACTTTACCCTGCTTATTATTACTTTCATTTCAAATCGTAAGACCTTCTCACGCTAATGTCAGGATTGTGTGGAGCAAAAGAGTGGTTGTTCATGGTAACATTTTTGTTATGTCCATTCATTTTAATGGTCGAAAGAAACTAGATCTTGCTTGAAAACAACTTGCTATTGATTTGAACACTTTACATGTGGGTTCCGTTGCTTTCTTGGCGGTATTAACTTGTTACTTCAATTTAGAAGCTCTATGGGCTTGATTCAGATAGCAGGATTGTCGCCTAGAAGAGATCTTAGGTAGTAATCAGTCGTATGGCTTACTTGCTCACAGTATTCATTGCTGGTTGCCTTCCAGGGCTATCTAGGTCAGATGAAAGTACTTTTCCCATCAGAAAGCACTGCATTTCACGCTGTGAAATGTAGTGCCATATTTCTTGTTGCACGTTTATCTTGTGTCATCGATATACCAATGTAAGGAAGTAAACAAGAAGACTGGCTACTTCACTGCGAAGAGCGTCTCTATTACCAGATTCCTTCAGTGAAGGTGCTTTATGTTAGTTTCAGGGTAATCAGAGACGCAGCATTCATCGAACTTCCCTTTGATTGGGTGAAAAGACGAGTTGGATAAGATTCTTAGATCATTGGACGTCCTTATCGAAGTTTTAACAAATGCGCAGGTTCCGACTGTAGTATTCCGTCTGATTTGTGACTTCCCATCAACTTTGATGCTTTGTGGACTGATCATTTATGGAGTAGAAATTCAAGTTCATTACTTAAAAAAGCAGTGATTTATAAAACTTAGATGACAAACTTTTCTTACTGAATTCATTTTGAAGTGCATTATGTGAATGTGCCAAGTTCTCTCGTATGATAGAAAAAGAGAGTTTGTTGATGAATAAATCTGAATACCACCATTAGGGTTTCTTCTACTGTTCCATCGCGGGTTTGGGTCCAGGTCGTCAGTTTTTCTTTCCTTCGAGCTATTGATTGACACTTTATCTTTTAGGGACTCGATCCATATTGGACAACAATGCATCAGTGCTGAGTGTAGTGTTCTGCCTGGATGAGTAGAGTTTCTCTAGCGTCCATGCACGCAACATTAGATTGCTTTCAACCATTACAACAGTTCAGAGTCTAATGCATGTCCTCAAGGGCTATCGCCATATGGAAAATGGACTTCGGGCACATGACAGGGACTGATGTTGCAAATGAGACACATAATACCTTTACGTTAGAGGTCAAAAGTACGCGAAAGATTTGGCTCTGTGAAGCCTTGGATTCTCTCAATATGATCACCCTGCGAAATATATCTATCATCAGTCAGATTCAATTTACAAAACGTTTGATTTGTGGCCATAGATGTTACATGAGGCAGTCGAATGTTTATTTCAATACTGAAAACTCTCTCGACTTTTTTTGGATCTCTGCTAATATCAGCATTGGCGACGGAATCTTCGCCAACTGCCATTAACAGTATCCCGTTCTCCCAAAGGGATTTGCGTGGCCGCCTACTTGAAGGTGAGAAAATCCTTTTGGCAGTCATTGGCACTGCTGAGTGCACCATCGGAGCCTAATGGATCTACGACAATGAACAGTCCACTGCAAGTCGTAAGGTGTGACTACCAACAGGCTGAGTCACATGATATTCGTATCTCCTTTCGATGCAGATGGCTGGAGGAGGAACTTGATCACTTGGCTTGACAATGGCAATCAACCCAAGAATTTTAGGTCTGGTAGAAAGCTTGCGGCACGCATACTACGAATGACCAGGTTGGAGGTCGAGAAAAAATATAGATGCTACTTCATACTTTGGTCTTTCAAGTGTCCAGCAGGAAGTTTCATCAGGGAGATTGGGACGCAGCAGATAATCGCCGACACATCCTGCTTTTCAATAGCCTTTTAGTCGACACCATGGGCGATGGAAGCAGATGACATTGCCAGTATCATCATTGTATACAAGTGAGAGCATTGAGAGTGTCCTTAATCTTCTAAATTGAAGGTAGCTGGTGTTGATGAGGTGGAGATAGGAAGGGAGTGCAATATTTATTTATAGAAATTACCACTCGGTCCCTTTAGAGAGCAAGAGATACGGGTGTTGCAACATGTAGTTGCAAAAATTGGCTTCTGTTACAAATCTTGAAGATGATATGGCGTGTTATATCCATCCACATCCATTTGATCCATAACAAGGTTGAATATCGCGACTAGTGCACAACCAGACAAATTGTAACATATTTCATTATAAGTGAGAAAAATTTGTTGTAGTTCACACCCTTTTCATGTGTGAAACCTCTAATCACCAATCTAATTTTGAAGATTCTCGACTTGTCTCCTGTTGGATTGTCCTTCAGCTTGTATTTCCACTTGGAGTGTTTGATCTCGAGGAAGCTGAACCAACTCCCAAGTGTTATTGTTAATAAATGATTGCATATTTCATTTCACAGCTGCATTCCATTCAAGCTTACTGATCAAAGCATGAGTTTTTATGTACGAAAAAGTTTCAACTTCTTCCAAAATCAATGCTATACAATTCTCATCCTCGGCATCAAAGTCACGATCTTCAAGAATGGATGAATTGGCCCATACGCCAAACCTTTCAAGAGCCCTACTAGCACAACGCAATATTCTAGTAAACGATTTTGGTTGATCTCTATCGTTTGGTGTTGTTGCAATAGGCTCATCAACAATAATTTGCTACTATAGCCCCTAATTATGATGCATGTGTGCTACTTTTTGTAACAGATCATTAGTGAGATAATGATTTGCAACCTCCGGGCTGATTCTCACTAAGGTTTACTTTAGATGGCTTTTAGGTAGCTCATCATGGTTCTAGAAGACTAGGATTCCTTCTCATACTCATAGCCCAAACACCCTCTCACACAATCTCTCAAGGTATCACTTCAACTCACACACACACCGACAATCCAAGGTTCTGAAAATTTGTCACTCTTTCATATGTGAAACAAATCTTTACATATAAACTCTCCAAACTTGCTTGGGAGTCTCTTCCCTACCTCTCTATATATACTAGTTAGAAATTTACCATAGTAACAAATGGTAATTCCTATCTAACTTACTTTTACGAAGATAAACCATAGTAAGGTTGACTAGTTATCAATATGTGGCAACATGTCATTGGTCTCCTAAATCTTCTATTAGCTAGATTTAGTCATAACTAGCTATATTTAGTCATAACTATCATAACCATGATAAACTCCTTGGCTAATTCTAGTTCTAGTTCACACATACAACATAAGATCTTACAAATCAAACTCCTCCACAACAACATCTATGGCTGGAGATTTTCCCTCGTCAGTATGAGAATTCTTAAAATTCTTCGTCTCTTCCAATAAGTCGGACTCATTGAAAAAAACATTCCTACTGACAATCACCTTACGAGCTATTGGATCCCATAGCTCGTAACTTTTCACCTCATTATCATGTCCAAGAAAACAACATTTCTTGGATGTAGGATCTAACTTTGTCTTGTGCTCCTTTGGTGTGAGAGGATAACCAAAAATTTTCAAGTGACTGTAATCTGCCATTTGTTTATGCGGTTCAAACGGTGTGGGAAAATTGATCGCATTAGAAGGAGAAAGATTTAAGAAATAAATTGCGGTGTTGACGGCTTCTGTCTAGAATTCTCCGGGTAAACCGGATTTGCTTGGCATACTCGGCACCTTCTCCAACACTGTTCTGTCGAATCTCTCAAAAATAGCGTTTGTTGTGGAGTATAAATCCTCGTGAAATGACGAGTAATCTCCTCCTCTATACAATACCTCTGAAATTCCTCAAAAGTATATTCACCGCCATTATCTGATAGCAAATATTTCACCGTTTGTCTAGTTTGAATCTCAACTTGTATGCGCCAAGTTTTGAAGTTATGAAACATCTCAGACTTGTGAATAAGGAAATATACCCACACATACATGGAGTAATCATCTATAAAAGATACATAGTAGAGGTTTCCAGAGAGTGAGGTAGCATGAGATGGGCTCCACAGGTCACTATGTATATACTCCTGTATTTTTGTGGAACTATGAGTTCCAACACTAAAAGCTCGCCTATGCTATTTGCCCATGATGCAATGTTCACAAAATGCCAAGTCAACTTTACCCAAACACGGTAACACCTTTTTCACACCAACAAGAAACATGTACATATCACTCATATGGTCTAGTATGAAATGACATACATTAGATATCTCTACGCGGCATCTCGTAAAGTTCATATTTCCATAAATAGTGGTGTACTCCAATAAGTACAGATTATTGTGCTTGTATCTCTGAAGGATAACTTTCTTATCACTTGATTTGAAATCTAATACGCCTTGCCTAGAGCTCCACTCTAAGTCGTGTGAGTCAATAACACTAACACTCCAAGAGAGATCAAGTTTTTTCTTATCTTAGGTATAAACCTAATGTGGATCAGCGTATGATTGATTCCAACAAACATGCAGATCTTTACACACCCAACACCCTCAATTTTACAAGGTTGGTCATTTTCTATAAGGATTGAACCGTTTGATCATGAGAAAGTACAAAAGAACTGTCTAATGTAACAAATGTGATAAGAACAAGCACTATCCAAAATTTATACGTCATCAACAACTTTTGATGAACTACACAGAACATACCTTTGGCATCATAGACCGTTGGCAAACACATTCTACTATTTGGAGTAAAGATGCTCCGCAACATTTGCCACTGTAGCTAAGTTTGTATCTCTGATTTTCATATGACTGTCCTTCGTAATGTGGACATTCTTGTCACATCTCGAAGTTCAAGTTTATACTGTTAGCGAATTGAACTTTAAACCGAACTCTCATTTGCTAAGGAGATATGAACCTTGTTCTCTTGAATCCGATACGTTGTGAATTTTTGAGATTCGTCGGATGTGACTGACCCTAGATCATAGTAAGTGCGCTACTGGAAGTGAGTGGGCAAGAAAATAACAACATCTCTTGTTCTGCCTTGTCCGCTTGGAGAGCACTTACAACCTCATAGTAAATTACAATCTTGTTATCACGATACAAGTACAAATAATCTACCAACACATAGATTATTGTACATTATCGTGATAACAATATTGTAATTTACTAAATAAATAATAATACAAATAATCTACCAACAAATCTACGTAGGCGTGAATGTGATCCTAATTTCCTCTCTACAAGCCTCATCCTGAAGTTCAATAACCTCATGTAGGTGTTCATCACATGTGATAGTTCCTTCTAATGAAATCGTCTCTGTATGACATCAAAAAGCTATGTATATAATAACAGAAAAATACCAAAATGGAGCATAATGGTACAGATCCGATCCCACGAGAACAGAAACAACCACGAAAGTCACGATTTGTCACAGAATAGCATTCTATTAAAGAGTTTCACTTCTCAGGCCAATGCCACTCCCAGAAGACACTACCCTGCTAGAGCCGAAGACCCGCAGAGTAGTGCATGACCACTTTCATAGCCTTAAACTTGTCCAAACAACGCCTGTAGGAATCGCTTGCAATTCCACACTTATATTTCAGGGGGAAAACTTCCCAGCATTGCATACATCCCGACACACTAACCCGAATACTCAGACTTGAACTTGCTTAAATCCCAAGGAGCCTCGACTACTCAAAACATTCAAGCCGAATACACACAACTCCTGATGCGGTAACCTCGACAAACCGGAGTGCACCGTGCTCAATGTCTGGATCACACACCAGCACACGGACACAGTGGATACAAGTTTACAGTCAAGACAAGCCAATTAATAGAAAAGCCCCCCAAGGAAAGAGCCTTGGGTCTCTTTATTCACAATGGCAACTCTGGGATATCAACCGCCTTAGGCGAATCGGTCTCAAGGGCTGTAATAACCCACTAAAGGCTAAAACTGCAATATAGTGGTAGAAAGGTCAAACCCACAGGGACAGAGGAACACACAGGGTACAAAGTGTCACATTTAACAGACTATTGAGGAGTTTGAATTCTCAGGCGACTGTCACTCCCATAAATACTGCAAGTGTTCACTCGGAGCTCACTTGGAGGTCGCACAGTGCAGCGTACAACACACACACACACACACACACACACACATGAAACTACAGAAACACAACCCAGAGACTGGTTAGGACATCAACGCAAGATTTCAGGGGGGAAAGTCTCTCGCAAGTACACTCGGCGAAGCTGCGGGTAGTGACTCCCAACTCCGGCTTTTACAACCCTTCCACTAGCCTTCTACTAGCGTGGGAAACCCGGGTTGGACTTCCTACTTCGGATCGAAGTCACTCACAAGCGGTGAACAACACTCTCAACTCACAAAACGCGCAGAGAACACAGGTCCGCGCGGAGGGACTCAACTGAGAAACGATCCAGTAACACACCATAACAGTCTATTGAAGAGTTTGAATTCTTAGGCACTTGTCATTCCCAGAAATACTACAGGGGTTACCCTGAAGGCACCTGCTGCAACGTAACCTGAATTTACAACCAAGGCTTACACGAAGTAGCAAAACTTCACTTTGGCATTCAGGGGAAAAATCCCGAAGGAGTACAATCAGGAACAATCACTCGAAAGTGTGAGGGGGAAACTGTTCAAGTATCTAACTCGTCACTGGCTCTAAGCATCGGCAATCACCCGCAGGTGTAGATCCGAACTACTCAAGTCTCTAACCAATGTACTAGCTCTGAACATTCGGCCGAAGGCCTTCAACTACACAATGCGGACCGCCAAGGTGTAGCTCCTCTTGCGTGGTGACAGAACTAAGGACACAAACACGCAGAGAAAATGAGTTCCTGATCTGCACTTCTGAAACTGGAAAAATCCCAAGGCAAGACGCCTTGATCTACTTTATACCTTCTAAGTCATAACTAGCACTACACTACACTACGCTACACGCCTGCACGGAATCACGCTACGCTACACTCCGCAGAACCTGTGCTTCGCCTCCTGCGCGACGGACTGCCGCGCACTAACTACCTACCTTGCCAGTCTTCAGCTCAACTGCGCAGTCCCAGCCGCTGCAGCACCGCCGAAACCTCCGACTCGAGGGTGGCCATGGTGTCCTGCGATCTCGACAGAAAAGAGTCCAACTTCTTCGCCACTCGCCGCCGACTCCGACTGTCACCTTTCAACAACCCCGCTGCACGAAGCTCTAACTCGCGCAGTGTGAGTTTCTCCTGCGCCGCCACTTCCCAGTGGGCATAGCCCATGAGACAGTGGGTGACTCGCCTCGCCATCTCTTCCTTCGTGCGATCT